AGCTGAAGCAACCACTTACTGACACAGGGCATAACAGCAGCTATAAGAGATTAACAAGGGACCAGGGCCACAACATGATTTTTGATGCTAAGATAGGACTTGACATTAGAAAGTCTCCATTGGTCTGTGACCAAGCACTAATGAGATGCCATCCTTCCTTTTATTTCAAAGCTCATAAAAGCCTCTCTTCCATCCCCCACCTCCCCTCACTGGGCCTCCTCTCAGACACAAGTGGAGACATCTCCCTCACGCCCCTCCTGGGTCCTGCTGCTAGGGAGTACTCAGAACCCCTGGCTGTCACCTGAGCTGCCGCTTAGGTAAACTCCCTCTAACAGACCCTCTCAGCATGGGGCTAAGCAGGGATCAGCCCCGCTCATGTTGGAAGACAGGGTTGCCCATGAGTTAGCATCCACAAAACACTGCATCTCACTGTGTATATGTGGGTTACCTGCTGAGGTCTGTGGTGAGAACCATGGCTTCGACTAAGGTGACCCCACTCTGGTTCCATTAAACACCAGGCTTTACAGCTGAAGCACAGTCACACCTTAATTAAGGACTTTATGAGCCTGAGCAGGACTGGCATGAAGGAATCAAAATGCTGACACCATCCCCAGGCAAATCAAAGGAGCCTGATGTCCTCATTAAGCCCAGCCAGCAGGAGGAGGGGTGGGGAGCGTATTTTCCAAGAGAAAATATTTCTAACTAGAATTTAGCTCCCAAGTCCATTGCGTTTTTTTTTGTTTTGTTTTGTTTTGTTTTGTTTTTTTTGACAGGCAGAGTGGACAGTGAGAGAGATAGAGAGAAAGGTCTTCCTTTGCTGTTGGTTCACCCTCCAATGGCCGTCGTGGCTGGCGCGCTGCGGCCGGCGCACCGCACTGATCCGATGGCAGGAGCCAGGTACTTATCCTGGTCTCCCATGTAGGTGCAGGGCCCAAGCACTTGGGCCATCCTCCACTGACTCCCTGGCCACAGCAGAGAGCTGGCCTGGAAGAGGGGCAACCAGGACAGAAGCAGCGCCCCGACCGGGACTAGAACCCGGTGTGCCGGCGCTGCAAGGCGAAGGATTAGCCTAGTGAGCCGCAGCGCCGGCCTCCAAGTCCATTGCTTTCTAAGAAACACCAGTGGTTTTAGTCTCAATTATATTTTTTGAGGCCTGTGGTCAAGATGGAAAGTTCATTTGCAGCACCTGGCTGCCGCAGAGTCTCACTGAAACGATTTCAATTTTATTTCCTATCCTCTTCTGGTACATTAGAATTATGCTCTTAGCACTGCCTAATTTTAGTTTCCAAATGTCTTTACATCACTGAAACTTTGACACCTACCCTCGTGTTTTCCTAAGGCTTGCCCATTCCCTTTATTCAAAGATGAAGTAACCAGAACAACTGAATTGACAAAGTGATTCGTTTTTGCTTCTGTGATGCCAAATGCCTAGCCTTGTACCCAGTCCTCCTTAGGATGTTCTCATGAACAAATCTCGTGGAGGAAAGGGGTTGTCCAATAGCTGCCGGGCCTGTTCCCTATCATGCTGCTTTTACTCTAGCCCCAGAGGTGACTGATGCACATCAGACCATGAGAGCAATGCAGAGAGAAGAAAATTCTGGACCCGAGGGGATGACAAAGACCCAGTGCTCTGTGAGCAGTTAGGAAGGAAACAGATCAGAATAAGCCGGGCTTGAGCTGGCATTGTGGCACAGCTGGTTAAGCCACCATTCACTATGCCAGCATTGTATATTAGAGTGCTGGCTACTCCATTTCTAATCCAGCTTCCTGTTACTGTGCCTAGAAAGGCAGTGGAAGATGGCCCAGATACATGGGTCCCTGCCACCCATGTGGGGAGACCTGGATAGAGTTCTTGGCTCCTGACTTTGGCCCGGCCCAGACCTGGCTATTGTGACCATTTGGTGAATGAAACAGTGGATGGAAGCACTCACTCTCGCTCGCTCGCTTGGTATCTCTCCCTCCTTCTCCCCCTGTTTGTCGCTTTGCCTTTTAAATATATAAATAAAGCTTTTTTAAAAAATAAAAGGAATAAGCCAGAATTGTAGGAAAAATGCATTATGTGTGAAGTGAGGAATTGGAGATAGTTCTTAAGTAAAGAAAGAAGGATAAGGAAAAATTATGAATACTTGAAAAATTGTCACATATTCCCACTATTAGTCCCAGGTCTCCTCCATCTCTAATTCTTAGGGCTGAACTTTGCAAACTATCTCTCTTCTTTCATTACTCATTGCAAAATTCTTCCAAGTACTGACAAAACATATGGTGTTTTTTTGTTATACAGTTTCAAAAATATATGTCTGATGCTTTGGAATTACAATACCCAAGTGACTTTAGGGATCATATTTCTACTTCCTTGTCACACAAATTAAGAGAAGTGATATTCAGCGAGATGATGTGAAGTGCTCAAAGATCTCACAGCAAGTTGGGGCAGACCTAGGACCGAAAGGGCTCTGACTTCCTGTCCCAGGATCTTTCTCCTCGTGGTGGAACACTGGGCACCTGGCTCTCAGAATGCTCTGAACACCCGGCCTCTGTCGGAGCCTGAATGCCTGACACAGCAGACTGTCCTCAGACGTGATGTCTACTCATCCCGCAGGAGCCTGAGGTGTGCTGACCTCACCCAGGCCGGCTCCTTCCTGCTCCGAGGAAATGATACAACGCAAAGGACGCATGCTGAACTCCACACATGTGCCTCAACCACGCCCTCCTCATGCTCCCGGCTCATGCATCCTGTGGTCTGCAAGGAGGCCATCAGCTGGCTACAACCAAACTTCCTAAGGTCTTGCCTTGAACCCCTGCCACAGCCACAGAGAGCTCTGCTCTCTGATAAAGGCCTCTAGGTCTTGAACCAAAGCTGGGCTCCCATTTCAAGACTCAGCTCTCCACAACACTGGCCCTTTGTACACCAGCAGGAAACACCTGTGGCCCCTGGCTTTCCAAGAGTGACATCTTAGCCTAGCAGCTGCTCCCAAGGATAGCATTTGTGGGACCTCCTCACTGCAATCCGATGTCAAGTAGTTTCCATCATTCTTAATTTCTACTTCACTATAATCATCTTCTACATTTTATTGGCTTTCTTAAAAGTGTCATGTTTGAGCTCAGTTGGTCAACAGAGAGCCCATACTTCTTCCTGTACCTAGCTCTGTGGAAAGAGCATCCTCACATTTGACTATTTGAGATACTTTGGGTTTCAGTGAACCCAGGTAAGCCACTTTGGTCACTGACCACCAGTGATGGTTTTCAACATCCCTCTGAAAAGAATGACAAGTGAGGCCAAATATTCCTTTAGTAGGAAACAAGATTTTCAAAAAGTTTCAATTACTGGGATCCCTGGCTTTCATCACAGCTGGATTTATTCAGTGAGAAAGGATCACCTTTGGAAAAAGCCAGGTCGTATGGTAAAAAGAAATACAGGCTCCATTACTAGAGCTAGCTGAGTTTAGGGCTGCCACTTACTCTGTAAACTCCAGCAAGCATTTAAGCTCAGAGCCTCGGTTCCGGGTTTGTGGAATGAGAATAGTAACGTCTGACAGCAGCAGCGAATGCCAACAGCAGCTACACCAACCTGAGTATTTCAGGTGAAAGAGAATTTCAGTGCTTTTTACTCAGAGAGAAAGGCATCCCCCCATCACGTTTAGCTTAAAGCCATGGTCACCTCACACAACACATGGGCATTGAGCATTCTGATTCCCAGCAGCTGGTCATGCTGCCCATTTTCTAGTGAGTGCTCTCAGAGGTGGCAGAGTTCTATTTTTAGAGAAGGCGATTGGCAGTTAGGCTACCTTCAATCCCACACCCATTTTTCACAGTAAAGACTACCAGCACCCACACTTTGCAGGTGTGGGATGGAAAGGAGTCAAGAGTTTTCTTTGGAAATAGCCCTAAAGACATTAAGTTTCCTGGTAGGCAGCTTACAGAAAAGTTTTTCTTCCGCAGCATCATCTTTTCTTTAGCAAACAAAACACAATGACCCCACCTTTGTTTTGCTAGAATACCTGCATGCTGCGTGTCCAAACCAACTGGATTGTGAATCTTTCCTACAGGCAGCAGCACCTGGCTCTTAAAGATTTGTTGGTAGACCCCAAGCCATTCCTAAATTTTAGCAACTAAGCTCATGTCTGGGAAATGGAACATGGTTGTTGAATGCCTATCAGAAAGGAAGTGAGTATGCAAATGTCCAGTGGGTGTTAAAGCATTTTGGAAAATGTTCTAGGAATCAAAAGAAGAAAATACATATGACAGCTTCTAGAACCAGATGTGACTTCAGAGAGGGATTCAGGGAACAAGTGAAATATTTACGACACAGAACCCCGGAGTGCAGGGTGTGGACAAGGGCTATCTTCTGCAAAAATTAAAAATCCAGGGCATCTCACCCTGCTATGCCACAGGCTCGAGATATATTACCCCAGAGTGAATGAACTGAGGCTGGGACAAACCTCTCACCCATGAAGGAGCCATTTCTGAGTGGATTCAAGGAAATTCTCAAAAATCCAACCAAATTGAGTGTAACTTCTTCTTTTAAACATTGCAAAAGCAAGCCAAAACACAACTTAGCATATCTATCTCCATTTAAAAAAAGTAAAAACTAAGAAAACGCTATGTGTTTTAATATGGCAGAATTCTTGAAAATGTTCAAATTTTTAGCCAAGTGTATCGTTATCTTTTTTTAAAACAGAGTGGAGAGCCCCCTGGAAGTGACTAATGGTGCCTTGTGAAAATGGTCCTTTCATAGAAAAAACCACTCTCAAAACACCTGGTCATGTATACATCCCTTCACAGACAAGGCCGAGAATAGATGGCTCAATGAATAATGGAGCTAAGAATTTCTTATCTGGGTTACAGACTCACCCACAGTAGGTCTCTTCAGGCAGAAGCAAAACCCTCCAGTTGATCCAGACCAACTCACCCACCATATGACCACCCAAGCAATACAACCCTCCCCATGCAGAGTCAAAAAGAAGCCAAACCTGGGAGTCTGTGAGGACCCCAAGTTCACTCACTTGTCTTCTGAGAAACTTTTGCCCGTAATAACATCCTTCCCTTGGGGAACATAGTTCCAGTATTCTTCCACAATTCCAATGTAGTATGTCCTGGTGACTGCACCGACCAGCCCAGACAGACCCAGGAATGTGAGGAGGATGCAGCCAGCAGGCTGCTTCCGAGGCATTTGTGGATGTAACCCGGGCAAGCCGCTGGTGCAAGAGACACCCTGTTGGCCCCTCCTCCTCTCTCAGGGCTGGTTATAAATAAGCAATGGATGAGGCCCAGCTCCTCCTCCTGAGGTAGCTTGGGGTTGGGACAGAGACGTACCAGTTGTGCAAGCAGAGCAATCTCTATGGGAGAGTTGCAATGACAACGAACTCCTGCCAGCCATCCGAGAGATGTGTAACTGGATTATTTATTTACTGCCCAAGCCAAGCAGGCCTGTTTCTCTCAGTTTTGCTGCTCTGGTGGGACGTTAGTCACTCATCTCTTCTGAGAATGGTGGTACAACTTGGGCTGACAGGTTTCTCGCACCCCTGGTTCTTCTTTTTTTTTTTTCTTCTCCACACCTATTACAGGAACATATTAAAATCTGAAAAGGGGGCTGGCCTATATGGGGGAGCATCAGGAAGTATCCCAAGCACTCAGGAAGGCTCACCTCTGTTGGGAGGCAAAGGGAGTGACGTAATCACCCTCCAACTCGTTTTATGAGGCTACATGAAACAATCAGCCCGCATCATAAAGTTCACAACAGTGCTATAAAACCCTGCTTCTACTCCTTCTGCTCAGGCACCAGCTCCTCCAAATCCTCTCAAGTCCCACCAGGAAAACTGAGCGACTTGACTGCCAGTTCAGCTACAATTTGAGGCCACCACTCCCTTCTCAGAATGTGTGGGAATGATGACCCAGGAGTACCCTTCAGGCACACAAAGACAGAGTCCAGCAGCCAGTCCTCGGGTCAGAAAGGAAAAAGGGAGTGCCCTTCCTCTGTGAGCTCTAATCTGTGACCTAGAATCTCCATGTGTAAAGAGACCTCGTTCAACCTTGGAACAGAGCCAATCCCATCCCCACACACAGCTGCTCCAGCGGCGACAGCCACAGCAGGAAGGAAGTAACCCCCTGGAGTTGGAGGGAAGACAGACTGGATTCCAGCCTGAGTCTCACCATTTACCACGGAGGCATCTCTTCACCACTTCTGAGCCTCAGTCTGCAAAACAGACGCGGAGGGAGCCTTAGGAAGATTGAAAAAGATGTCATCTGCAGGAGCTCGTCACAGCCCCAGGCACAGCGTGAGCGCTCAGTCATCCACACTGTCCTTCAGCCCCATTCACACCCCTGAAAGATTCTATCAGCTGCGTGCTGGCGGACTGCCATTTCCACCCACCCTCCTACTCTCTCTTCAGTACCTTTTCTCAAAGTCTGCTGTGCCCTCAAGCAGTCTCCAAGAAGAGTTCTTCGGCTATAAATGGCAGAACTCTGTGGATATCCTATAGCACAGGTTTTAAATTAACATATATCTTAATAAAATATACACTGAGCATTCTGTTTCATAGCCACACTTTTTTTATAGAAAGCTTTTATTTAATAAATATAAATTTCATAAGTACAACTCTTGGATTATACCAGATCTTTTCCCCATGCCTGCTTGCCCTCCCACCTCCAAACCATCCCACCTCCCATTTCTTCTCCCATCCCATTCTTAAGATTCATTTTTAATTATCTTTATATACAAAAGATCAACTTGGTATATACTAAGTAAAGATTTCAACAGACTGTACCTACACAGACACACAAAGTATAGAGTATTGTTTGAGTAGTAGTTTTACTGTTAGTTCACATAGCACAACACATTAAGGACAGAAGTCCTACATGGGGAGCAAGTGCACAGTGACTCCTGTTGTTGATTTAACAGTTGACACTCTTATTTATGATGTCAGCGATCACCCAAGGCTCTTGTCATGAGCTGCCAAGGCTATGGAAGCCTCTTGAGTTCGCCGACTCTGATCTTATTTAGATAAGGTCATAGTCAAAGTGGAAGTTCTCTCCTCCCTTCAGAGAAAGGTACCTCCTTCTCTGATGGCCCGTTCTTTCCACTGGGATCTCACTCACAGAGATCTTTCATGTAGGTCATTTTTTGCCATAGTGTCTTGGCTTTCTATGCCTGAAATGTTCTCATGGGCTTTTTTTTTTCTTTTTTTTTCAATTATCTTTTTTTTAAACTTTTATTTAATGAATATAAATTTCCAAAGTACAGCTTATGGATTACAATGGCTTCCCCCCCCATAACTTCCCTCCCACCCACAACCCTCCCCTTTCCCGCTCCCTCCCCCCTTCAATTCATATCAAGATTCATTTTCAATTCTCTTCATATACAGAAGATCAGTTTAGCAGTTTGCACCCACATAAAAACACAAAGTGAAAAATACTGTTTGAGTACTAGTTATAGCATTAAATCACAATGTACAGCACATTAAGGACAGAGATCCTACATGAGGAGTAAGTGCACAGTGACTCCTGTTGTTGACTTTACAAATTGATACTCCTGTTTATGGCATCAGTAATCACCCTAGGCTCTTGTCATGAGTTGCCAAGGCTATGGAAGCCTTTCGAGTTCACTGACTCTGATCATATTTAGACAAGGCCATGGTCAAAGTGGAAGTTCTCTCCTCCCTTCAGAGAAAGGTACCTCCTTCTTTGATGACCTGTTCTTTTCAATGGGATCTCACTCGCGGAGATCTTTCATTTAGGTGGTTTTTTTGTTTTGTTTTGTTTTGTTTTTGCCAGAGTGTTTTGGCTTTCCATGCCTGTAATACTCTCATGGGCTTTTCAGCCAGATCCGCATGCCTTAAGGGCTAATTGAGGCCTATCAAAAGCTTCGTTATTCTTTTAGACAAGAGGAACAAGAAATATAAATGATACAGATCAAACAGACAAAGTGGTTAACTTTCCTGCCCAGAATACAGTATACATATCATGCAAACACTGGGGAGATATCACCTAACTCTGGTTCAAAACTGTACTCGCGAGAAGATAGACCAGGTCAAGAAAACTCATTGGTAGCAGAGAACCTGATACTGAGTATTGTTAATACTTGGCTACACAAGAATTGAGGAAAGAGTTTCCTAAAAGCAATGAAATATGGTTCCTGGAAAATTCTCTTAAATTCCTCCCTACACATGGGACAATACAAATGCTACTCAAAGGCCATTGGAACTCTGTAAGATATAAAGACAAGAGAAGATCTGGTATGAGAGAATGAATTGTGCCTAATGAAACTCTTCTAAAAATCACAGTTAAATACAGGCTGTTACTGGCAATATCTGTGAGCAATAATGCTAGCAAATACTTTCAACTCCACTGTACTCTTCATGGACATAATTCAATTAGAGAAACTCTCCAGGTGTCAAGCACCTACTACCTGAGGGAGTCCGTCCCATGTACTCACTCTCGAATTGCTCACTGTCCAATGAATTTGGTATCAGGTATTAAAACAAGAAAAAGACAATCATGGGTCAAATCATGTTTCTCTGAAATATAGCATAGGATATTCAAACACAACTTTCAGTAGGAGAATCCAGTGTAGAAAAATAATATTCTAGATAGCCTTAGCTGATTTGCAATTTTAAATTTTTTTAATTTATTTGAAAGCAGAGTTATATAGAGAGGAGGAGAGACACAGAGAAAGAGAGAGAGAGAGTGTTTCTATCTACTGGGTCCCTCCCCAAATGGCCAAAATGGCTGGAATTGGGCCAGGCCGAAGCCAAGAGCCCAGAGCTTCTTATGGGTCTCTCACATGGGTGCACCCTCCACTTAAGCCATCCTCCACTGCTCTCCCAAGCACATTTGTGGGGAACTGGACCAGAAGTGAAGCAGCCAGGACTTCAACTGCCCATTTGGGATGCTGGTATTGCAAGTAAAGGTTTAACCTGCTAACCTGCTGCACCCCAGCACCGTTCCCTGAGGTGTAATTTTAAATAAGTAAAAAGTGACTGGCAAAATTGGCTGTCCTATTCTTTAAATGTTTTACCTTTTATATTTATTTATTTATTTTAAAGGCAGAGAGAGAGAGAGAGAGAGAGAGAATGAGTGAATGAGAGAAAGAGAATGAATGAATGAACAAATGATCCAGACAGGCAGAAAGAAAGAAATCTTCTATCCACTGATATCCCCAAATGCCCACAACTACCGAAAGCAGGAGCCCAGAACTCAATATAGATCTCCCATGTGGGTGGTAGGGGCCCAGCTACTTAAGCTACCTTCTGTTGCTTCCGAGGATACACATTAACAGGAAGCTGGAATTGGGGACTCAGCCAGAACCTGAACCCATACACTGTGATGTGGAGGTCCCAGGTGGGAGGTGTATCACTGCACCAAACTCTTGCCCCAACTTCTTGCGTGTTTTGAGGATGCATCCAATACTCCTCAAAACTCAAAAACTCATGATATCACACACTCTGACCACCAGCTCCATCAGCCCAGCCCCCTCTTTGCCCTGCCACAGTAGATCTTGGCTCTCCAACCTCATTAGGACCCTTTGGTCCTTGTTGGCACATCATTATTTTCTACCCGGAGTCCTGCAGTTTCCTAACTGCTGTCATGGATGCGAGTGACCAGGTCTCTCCACTGGTTGAGGTGTTTCAGAGGCTTCCCATGGCCTTCAGGATAGGGGCTGATGGCCTGCACTTGACTTTCAAGGCTGACATCGATCTGATGGCTAGGACTGAGTGCCTCTTCTGAACTCACAGTGCATGCTTAAGTCATCATTGTGGCACCCAGCATACCCTTCACCTGTGTTCCCATCAGTGCCATACACACCTTGACCATGACACTCACCACAGCACAGTAATCACCTCTTTACTTGTCTGCCCTCCTACACACACACACACACTCCACACAGGTTCCTCACAGACAACCATTCAGCCTGGTCCATCTCTGTGTCCCCAATTTCTGATACATGATAGATGAATTTACAAAGTCAAGCTATGTATGCTGTGAAGGGTCCCAGGCATATTCATGGAGATTAAGGCAAGGATGGATTTTTAAAGGTAATTATGAGGAAGATTGCATGCACTGTTTTGAAACAACAATCCTTGACTATCACAAAGGTTGTCTCAGCCACCTGCAGTGCCGGCATCCCATACAGGCACCAATTTGAATCCCTGCTGCTCCACTTCTGATCCAGCTTCCTGCTAATGTGCCTGGGAAAGCAGTGGAAGATGACCCAAGTGTCTGGAGCCCTGCCACCCATTT